AGCAGCAGCAGCAGCAGCAGCGCACCGAGAGACGCGATGATACGCTGACGCCAAGCCGCGCAGCGAGGGACTCACAGACTCTCGGGTCATGAGTGTGAGTGAGTGAGTGGTGGGTGCATGCATGCATGCTGTCGCGATCGAGTCACTTGACTGTGACTGACTTGGCTGCCAAACCCTTGCCGGCACGAACTTGGCGGCCACATGTGACGCAAAACGAAGGGAGTGGGTCCGATCGACCAAACTTCATACTTCAAATCGCCTTGGCACGTAGGCTTTGCGCTTTAACCACACACCAAAAGCGCCTCCTCGTAGCCCGCAGCTCGCAACGATGTGCGGCATCTTAGCCATCCTGCTCGCAGCTCAGCGGACGGCAGTAGCGCCAGAGATCAATGAGGGCCTGTCCCTTTTGCAACACAGAGGCCAGGATGCCGCTGGTATCGTGACTTGCGGACCTGGTGGAAGGTTCTACCAGTGCAAGGCTAATGGAATGGTCAGGGATGTCTTTGACGCGGGTGCCCTTGCAAGGTTGCAGGGTAGCATGGGTATCGGTCATGGTGAGTGTTTGTGAGAGAGGTGCAAGCTCAGCTTGGATCGAGTCCTAACGATCGTCATTTGCATTACTCCACTTCCTCCTTCTACCTCAGTCCGATACCCCACCGCTGGCTCATCAGCACACGCTGAAGCTCAACCATTCTACGTCAACAGTCCATACGGCATCGTCTTTGCCCACAATGGGAACCTCATCAACACCTTTGAGCTCAAGCGATTCTTGGATGCCGAAGCTCACAGGCACATCAACACAGATTCGGATTCAGAGATGCTGCTCAACATCTTTGCCAACAATCTGCAAGCCACTGGCAAATTTCGTATCAACGAGGAGGACATATTCACCGCCATCGGTGGTCTCATGAAGCAGTGTCACGGCGGCTACGCTTGCGTGGCCATGCTGGCTGGATTCGGCATCATCGCTTTCAGAGATCCCAACGGCATTCGTCCGGTGGGCATGTGTCGCAGGAAATCCTCCGAAGGGGCCGATCTCGGCGACGATTGGTGCTTTACTTCCGAATCTGTCGTCTCTGATGCTTTGGGATTTGAGGACTTTCAAGATGTCCGACCGGGAGAAGCGGTGATCATTACCCGAAATGCGGTATCAAGGAGAGTGCTCACTCCTCAAGCCACATCCGACAATGGCTACACTTTTGCTCCCGACATCTTCGAGTACGTCTACTTTGCCAGACCGGACAGCGTGCTGGATGGTGTGAGCGTGTACAGGAGCAGGATGGCTATGGGGGACAGACTCGCCGAAGAAGCTCGCAGAGTGCTCGCTCAAAGGGGCGAGACTGTGGACGTGGTGATACCCGTGCCCGATACCAGCCGAGTAGCCGCACTGCAAGTAGCGCAAAAGCTGGGCATCCCTTACAGAGAAGGATTCGTCAAGAACAGATATGTCGGTAGGACTTTCATCATGCCTGGTCAAAGTCAGCGTCGCAAAAACGTCAGACGCAAGCTGAACGCTATGGCTTTGGAGTTCAAGGGCAAGAGCGTGCTCCTGGTGGATGACTCCATCGTTCGGGGAACGACCAGCCGAGAAATCATCCAAATGGCTCGAGATGCAGGTGCAGTGAGAGTCGTGATGGCCTCCTGCGCGCCCCCAATCAGATATAGCCACGTGTACGGGATCGACATGCCCAACAGGCACGAGCTGGTGGCGCACGACCGGTCGGTGGAGCAGGTAGCCAAAGAGATTCAAGCAGACGTGGTCATCTATCAGACCTTGCAGGATCTAATCTCTAGCGTGCAGCAATTCAACCCCAGCTTGAGAAGCTTCGACTGTTCAGTCTTTGATGGCAAGTACGTCACGGGAGGCGTAAACGATGCTTACCTGGCACATCTGGAAGGACTCCGAAGCGAGAACGCCAAGATCAAGGCAAAGTCGACTAGATTGCCCAATGGTGCTGGATCGGAGGACACGCGAGGATCGGGAGCCATCGAAGCTGCAGTGGCAGTAGCCACACCACCTGGTGAAGGGGCCAACGATCCCAAAATGGCCGTCCCAGAGCACACCGAGATGGTGGTCAAGCAAGATGAAGCAGAAAGGGCTCGTGCTCGCAATGGATCAGCGGTACACAATGGCATCAAAGAGAATGTGACTAGAAATCACAGCAAGAAGGAGTCGGAGGGAGATGGCTATCTGAACTGCAATGGCCCTATGGGTGGAGGAGATGAGCTAGGATCTAGCAGTCACAATGGCTCGGAAGATATTGGGTGAGTCGGAGCGCATACGATTGTTTTCCTTATAGCGAGCTGGTAGCGCGTCTTCAGATTCCAGCTTTGCTGACATGCTTCCAAATTTGCATCACAATTTGTAGGCTACACAACGATTGGAGGAGATGACCTCGATCATCACGGGCCTGTTGTTCCTGGTATCCCTGCACGCCGAGTCTGCTCTCTCTCTCCGCTTCTTGACGCTACTCGCTTGTCCCTCCCCCTCTCCTCTCCCTCTCTCTTTCTCACTACTCCATCCAAGTATCTAGTGTGCCGCGCCTCCTCTCTTTATTGGTCCCTGATGTTATTTGAACGATCCTCGCGCTCACTTCGATGACTTGCTCATGAGGACGGTGACCACCCTGGCTGCCTCCCCCTCCTCTTGTCATCACGTCTATGCAAATTCAAAAGTCGATCAAACAAGATTCGCACGTCGAGACATTTTAGTTGTGAACGTTGGCTTGGAGATTATGGCGACTGGCCAGCTAGCAAACCGAATGTTGTCGGATGTCCAACACGAAGTGCGGCTCGAAGGCTAGTAGCGAGGGATTACTTTGCGCAATTATGTGGCCGTTGGAGAGCAAAGCAGATCGTGGCAGTCGATGCAAGATGCAAGAACATATTGGTCAGGGTCAGGGGGAAAGAGCAGAGCGGAGCGAGTGGAGGAGCATCAAAAAGCTCAAAGCGAGAAGGCCTCGTGGATTGTTCAAAGCTTCCTAGGCCAGTCGGGGCGCTGACGCGGACCGAATACGTAGGACAAGACGACCGTGCACAGCTCTTCCATTCTCGACGTGGCCTCTTGGTGCTGCGCGCTTGCAGATGTTGTTGGGCGAATGGACACACCCTTCAGAGCTTGGCCAAGCCGCGGGTCTTTTTGCCTGTCAAGTCGGCTTCCGTCCACCAGGGATATCCGCTACGGGTGCCGAGTGAGACGCGCAAGCGAGGTGGTACGTTAGTCGCTGCTTCATGACGCAGTCGGGTCTCGGTGAGACGGAAAAACTCACTTGAAAGCTGATGACCAATCGGGAACACATGTTTCGGCCTCTATAGTCAGCGCCGTTGAAAGGTGACACTTTAAACGCGTTGCCATCCTTGATGGTGTACTCACTCTCGACGTCTTCCACAGTACCTTCAAATTTGGGCTTTCTCTTCTGCATGAAGCTCAGTACTCCCTCTTGAGCGTCCCTCTTGCTAGCCTCCCAAATCATCTTCGACTCCAAGAGATGCGTCTCTTCGCGCGTGGGCGGGCACTGCCAGATCAGAGCCTTGTTGAGTGCCATACTAGCAACACGGCGTGACGATGCAGAGTCAGCAAGGTGGCATTCATGCGACATGAAGGCATCGTTGAGCTGACAGATGCTCACCTGATGACGCTGTTGTCAACAGCCAGTCTTCCAGCCAGCTTCAGGGCTTCGGGCAAGACCTGCTCAGCTGGCAAAACGTTGTACCACAAGTCTCTCCACGTCGGATCATCGGCCCGATACGTGTCGCCCGTCATCGAGATCTTGAGCGCGTTGGAGTGACCGACCAACCTGGGTAGCAGATAGCTCGACGTCGCTTCCATGGAGATTCCTCGCTTGACAAAAGGAATACCCACTTTGGCGTTTGCTGCTACCAGTCTGATGTCTGTGGAGAGGACCATGGTCAGACCGATGCCCACCGCATTGCCATTCACCGCTGCGATGACCAATTTCCTGCATTTGGCAATCGACAAGCCGGCCTGACCTCCTCCGTCCCGATGATCCGCTGCGATGTCTGCATCTGCTCCGAAGCCGCCTCCCGAAGCTCCCGATAGATCAGCACCTGCGCAGTATGCTTTGCCCGCACCA